TCAACCAAACTAAACCATGCATATTATTATGAATGATTTATAAGATCAAGATACAAAAAATGCATTAATCATCAATTAATCACATACGAGGATTAAATTATCAAAATCCACACATTTCATGACTTATTAACAAAAAAAAAAAAAAAAAACAAAGGTACACCTTTTACAAGATTTATAAAATCAAATGTATCAGAAATATCAATCTCATCAAATAAACCACATATTTGATAAACATCAAGTAAAATACTTCCAGAGTCTAAAATATGAACATATTTTGTATGTACAAAGTTTTTACAAAACAATTTAAACTAACATTGTTAGGTTAAATTAAACTTAGGTTCCAAACCCAAATATTTAGTTTCCAAAGGTGGATACTTGAGATCCAACAGTTACTAGCAACAAAGGTAAGAAGTCCCCCCCACCAAAAAAAAATTCCCAAAATACCCTAGATTTGTCAAGACACATGAACATGAAAAATACATCAAGAGGGATGTTCTAGAAGACTAAAATGGAGCATTTTGACATGTATAAAGTTTAAAAGGGTTAAAAGTACCAGGAGGTCACATGTTCAAATCCAAGGAGAAAAAAAAATCCTCTTGTGGCCACGGAGGTTCAAATGTGGTGACTCCGAGCTATCTGCAAAGCAAGTGGTCGCCATGAGATTAACCGGCTCGCATAGCGGGTTGGATATCCAGGTTAATAAAAAAAGGGTTATGATGAACTCATTAATAGATTTTGAGAAAACCCTAAAATAGGGTTAACAATTGTGGAAAAATGGTGGAGAAGATGAAGGCTTTGAATTTCAACCCACAATACTTGAATTTCTAGCTCCAATTTTCTTAAATGCTTTTGAAGATTTTGGTTGGGTGGAATGAATGAGTTTGGACCAAATTTCATAAAGTTGGTGAAAAGGTAAACGAGAAGAAAAAGCAAAAATCAGATTAAAATGGCTGCAGGTCCAACTCCTTTCGGCCTAGGCATAGGCATGGGAATGGGGTGGGGGTGAAAGTGGGGGTGGGGGTGGGACCTCAATCCCCATCCCCGTCGGGGAATATAATCACATCCCAATCTTCATCCCAAACGGGGATCCCCTACGGGAAAACGGAGATTTTTTTTTCCCGTTTATGTAAATTATTTTAAATTAAATATATGAGAGATCATACATGTTTAAATCTC